TGTGTTCAAAAAAAATTTTAAAAGCTGTAACATATTTATTATTTATTTAAAGTAATTTAAATAAGAAGGTTGTCTGTTTTTTTTTTGCAGAAACTAATGAAACCAAATTAACATTCAACATGCGTGCTAGTGTTACCATAAAATCGGCAAAATTATGCGAAAAATACTTTCCGTTTCAATATCGTTACCGATCTCATGCCGCTATCACATCTAACATTGCTTCAAACAACTTCTTCCCATGTGAAGATGAGGTTTTACAAGTGGCTAAACCTTACTCAGACGTACCGGGCCCGAAACCCATACCAATTTTAGGTAATACGTGGCGTTTGTTACCATTAATTGGTCAATATGATGTATCTGACGTTGCCAAACTTTCTGGCCTATTTTACAAAGAGTATGGAAAAATTGTTAGATTAAGTGGACTTGTGGGAAGGCCAGATTTACTATTCGTATACGACGCCGACGAGATCGAAAGGGTTTACAGGCAGGAAGGACCAACTCCATTTCGTCCTTCGATGCCTTGCTTGGTTAAATACAAGGGTGAAGTAAGAAAGGAGTTTTTTGGTGACTTACCTGGAGTTGTGGGTGTGTACGTGATACTTTCTTATCTAAATATTTTTAGAAATGTCATTTTTCGGTCACAACAAGGTCAAAATAATTTTTTCTTTACTTTATCCTCTTACATTAAAAAATAAAAAAGATTGTAGAAAAACTGGAAAATATGAGGTTCAACGTATTACTGTGCTAAATTTCAAATTATAAAACAATTACATTTGTTTGTCATAATTTTAAAATTACAAATGTTCAAAAAACACCATTACATGCAATACATTAAAGATAATCAGCGTAACATTTTTTTAGGTCATAAGGAATTGTTGTTTTAAAAATTAAGCAATTTTAAGCGGTCGACGTAAAATTGCTTCCAATTATTTTTGCGGTAGTTCCTCTTGGCCCACTTGTTCATGGATTTACTTTGAAACATCAGTGATTCATGTTGTACCTACGTTATATTGCCCAAATAAAATTATATCTAATCAAAAATCAACCACACTGTAAATTAACCGTGGGCAAATTTCTGAAAGTTTAAACATATGTTTCTATTTTTGTAACTAATTTCTTGCGCATTTTTATTACTGAAACAAAGAGCTCCACAAATTGTAGTCATCATCATGAAGACTATAGATAAAGAGTCCAGAAGCACGATTAAATAAAAACAATGAGGACAGGGGCGAAGGTATCACTATTTTTTTTAATTTCGTGTGTTATGGGCTCATACAGGGCTGCATGGGGCTTGACAACTCAATTCTATTGTCTCTATGTTGAAATTAGAACCGTACACAATAGAATCCATGATCAAGACAATCTGAACCAACTACAGTCTAATCTATCCAAACAAATGTTGGCAGCATTGTGTAATAACAATACTTTGATTATTATCTCTATGTTAAAATGAAGGCCGTGAAGTGTAGACTCCATGATCAGAGCAATCTACAGCCTAATCTTTCCAAAAAGATTGTTGGCGGCATTGCCAACTTCGTAAATTCCGCATCAGCTCAAAAAACAAAGGAAAACAAAAACAAAAACAAAAAGTTGAAAATAAGTAATAACAATGCTTTAATTCGTATAATAATCTTAAGCAACCTTCGAGTAAATAAAAATAATTTAATTGAGACCTCAATCCAAACACTCACGACGACAAAAAATGAAGAATTGAGATTTTTGTTACGTCAAGGTCTTCTATTAATTGTTGACGGACATTTACATGTTATTTCATTGCATAATGCGAATTTATTTTTAAAAGTAGCGGTTCATCTTAAGACATGGCCTTGAAAAAAATAATCTTGACCTACATTGTTCACTAATGAGCAGGTTGATGCGGCAATGTCACAACTAAATGTGAATTTCTCTTGTGCAGGCACGGACAGCCTTGGAGAGACTTCAGAACCAAAGTTCAGAAACCAGTTTTGCAAATTCATACTGTTAAGAAGTATATCGAACCAATCGAGGATACAACAAATTATTTCATTCAAAGGTACACACAATCATTAATTGATTTTTTTTGTGAATGCCGGTTGGTAACGATTAAAAAACAGTCGAATCAGAAGAAGTGTAATTATGGATTACAATTTTCATAATATCAAAGGAGGAAGTCAGAGGAAGGACGATAAATTAACAATATCAATTGAAAATTTCTTTATTTTTTTTTTGTTTTCGTGGAAGAGGGGAAATCTTCAAAAGACACCCAGCCGTCCGTACGACTAGGTAGTGTCGGATTTCCGAGGAAGAAGTCCTCGGACCTACCGATTAAAACCCCTCTATCTCAGGCTGTTCTAGGACCAACTAGGGTCCTCTTCAGCCGTCAATTGGAAAAACATTCACATATTAAGCAGAGGATAGAGCAGGGTTCAGTCGCCTTCAATAAAAAGAAGTCGTTTCTATGTTCGCGAACGATTAATTTAGAAATTCGAAAAAGATTGTTAACGGTGTATGTTTGGAGCACGGCGCTATACGGGTGGGAAAGATGGACGGTGGGCGCGGCGGAAAAGAAAATGTTCGAAGCGTTCAAAATGTGGTGTTACCGGCGAATAATGAGGATACCGTGGATAGAGAAGGTTAGAAATGAAGAGATATTAGAAAGAATAGGAGAACAGAGGACATTATGGAAGTCAATAAAAAATAGGCGAGATAGATTGGTAGGACAGCTTCTCAGGCATGAAGGTCTAGTCAGAGACATATTAGAGGCAGAAACAGGAGTTAAGAGGAGTGGAGGTAGACCTAGATTAAGTTACTGTTCGCAAATATTTAAGGGGTATGTGGGATGTTTTCGTTTTAAGGAAATGCAAAGATTAACTCTGGATATGAAGGAGTGGAGGTGCGTGTCGAACCAGTCTTAGGACTGACAACCTTATGATGATGATGATTAACAAAACAAAAACTAGTAAACATTAAATTCTCCACTATTATTATATTACTATTACTATTTCCTACTAACTGTAGCGTTTCAAGAATTTGGCAGAGGCCTTATACGAAGACACAGTATAAATATAATATACCTATACAGCAGGGTCACTCCTTTCATCTGACCTAAAATCTCGACTTTTTTTGCAGGCGGTCATAAATCAACTTTATATGCGCTGAATTGATGTCTATATTACGTGGACATTTCAACAGCTTTACCAATGTGTATAGATACAGATTATATACTTATACGAGGGTGGATTGATAAGTTTCCGGCCTGACCAAGAAAAACAAGGTTTTTAAAAATTTTTTTTTTTTATTTCTCAACATAATCTCCTCCAAGGCTGATACATTTCTCATAGCGGTGTTCCAGTCTATTAATGCCATCTCTATAGACTGATTCGTCAAGCTCCTCAAAATAACCATTTACAGCTTCGATTACTTCTTCATTGTCCGCAAATCTCTTACCGCCAAGCCATTTTTTGAGATTAGGGAACAGAAAATAGTCACTCGGGGCTAGGTCTGGAGAGTAAGGAGGGTGCGGCATCAATTCAAACTTTAGATCGTTGATTTTAGCCGTCGCAACGATTGACGTGTGCGCTGGTGCGTTATCGTGATGAAACAAGATTTTTTTCTTCGCCAGATGAGGTCGTTTAATTTTCACCTCGTGGCTCAAACGTTGCAATAAGTCTGCGTAGTATTGACCAGTGATAGTATTACCCTTTGCAAGGTAATCAATGTATATAATACCTCTTGCATCCCAAAAAACAGTAGCCATAACCTTGTTCGCCGAAAAAATTGTTTTTGCCTTCTTTGGAGTTGGTTCCCCTGGTCCAATCCACTGTTTAGACTGTTCTTTGGTTTCAGGAGTGTAGTGGTGGACCCACGTTTCGTCAACGGTTACGAATCGACGCAAAAATTCGCTTGGATTACGCTTATACAATGACAAATTTGCGGTAGAAATGTTTTTTCGAATCAATTTTTGGTCGACTGTTAGCAAACGCGGCACCCATCTTGCACAGAGCTTTTCCATATGCAAATGTTGGTGCAAAATATGTTGCACACGTTCATATGACATCTTACAGGTCTCAGCTATCTCACGCACTTTCAATCTGCGGTCTCCCAGCACTATTTGATGAATTTTTTCGATCATATCTGGAGTTGTGACCTCAACGGGGCGTCCTGAGCGAGGCCCATCAGAGGTGCTCACACGACCCTTTTTAAACTCGGAAACCCACTGCTTAACGGTTGAATATGACGGGGAGGATGTCCCCAGTGTTGAGTCCATCTCTTTTTTAATTTCCTTCGGCGTTAACCCCTTCAAATAAAAGTATTTGATGACAGCACGATTTTCCTGCTTTTCCATTTTTACGAAAACCACAGAGGCGTCTTGTTCAGCGTGCTGTCAAACCTACACTAGCAAGGAGATCGGGCTGAAACTATAGCTACAAGCTATCCAAGGATGGTACTATAGAATGTCACCTCAAGGTAGGCCTAGTGGCGTCATCTCTTGGTTAGGCCGGAAACTTATCAATCCACCCTCGTATTGTAGCTTAACGATGACATTCTTATCAGACCACTTCTGCAATGGTGATCCATTACCAAGGGGGAATTATTAATAATGTTGTTGATTCAGATTGAAACTGAATTTCTAGAAAACAAGTAGATTAAATTTTAAAAATTAGGCAAACCACTCAAAACACAATCATTATCATCATAAGGTCGTCAGTCCTAAGACTGGTTGGAAACGCACCTCCACCCTTTCCTATCCTGAGCTAATCTTCGCAATTCCCTAAAACAGTCCCAAATCCTTTAACTATTTGCGAACAGTAATCTAATCTAGGTCTACCTCTACTCCTCCTGTTTCTGCCTCGAATATGTCTCTGACTAGACCTTCATACCTGAGAAGGTGTCCTACCAATCTAAGTCGCCCATTTCTTATTGAATCCTTTGTTCTGCTATTCTTTCTAATATTTCTTCATCTCTAACCTTCTCTATCCACGGTATCCTCATCATTCGCCTGTAACACCACATTTCGAACGCGTCTAACCTTTTCTTTTCCGCCGCGCCCACCGTCTATCTTTCGCACCCGTACAGCGCCGCGCTCCAAACATACATCTTTAACAATCTTTTTAGAATTTCTTAATTAACCGCACGCGAGCTTAGATGTGACTTCTTTTTATTGACGGCGACTCTCCCTGCGCTATCCTCTGCTTTGAATCCCTACCACTCCTTCCGTCCTGACTTATCTGACTTCCTAGATACCTACCTAAAATCAGTCACTTCTGTTAATTTTTTGTCTCCTATCTTTATATTCGCTCTTTCCCTAAATATAAAGTCTAAAATGAAAATGTCAACCCCTTTACGTCAGAATTCTTAAAAACCTTTTTAAATATTCTCATTTAGCATTTGCATATAAAAAGTTGCAGATTAATGGGAGCGGGGCGTAATTGGCTCTGTAACCTTATAATGGGAAAGGCAATAAACATTTTTTCGACCGTTTTCAATCACAAACGCTTACAGGAAATAAAGATGTGTAATTTGTTATTAATTTATATTACAGGATGATGGAAATGAGAGATGAACGAGAAGAGATGCCAGCTGATTTTGATAACGAAATTCACAAGTGGGCTTTAGAATGTAAGTTACTGAAACTTTAATTATATAATTTACATTCATACGATGGCTTATCAACATTTTAAGAACTCTCAGAATCTACACAGCAATATTGATAAATTAATTTTTAAAAAAAAAAAGGGATGGTGTATTGGTTTTCGGAAAATGCAAAGATTGTCTCAGGACATAAAACCGTGGACATACATGTCCAACCAGTGACTGAAGACTTTTGATTATGATGATTTATAATAATTAATATTATTTATCTGCTTTAAAATGTATTAGTCGCTAATGTTGTAAGTCACATTTGAGTAGTTTTGAACAAGGTTAGTAAAAGAAAAAGTTTCTTTAAGACGTTTAGTAAAATATTGTCGAACTCACTCAGCCCATCATCACAATTTTGTTTCAGTGTCAGTCATTAAATATTTCACTCGCAAAATTGTTCTTGTTTTTTATACTCCATACAACGAAAGGAAATAAGTACTTGATCCCTTTCAAATTCGCCGAAAGTTTCGTTTGGACTAACGGATGTAGAATGTTTACCGTGTAGTTGAATTAAATAGTAGAGCAGACGGAACTAATTTAACGTTTAACAATAACACATTGTAGAAAGTTTGCTGATTATTTATTATATTGTACGTATTAAAGTAAATTATTCCTAACAAAACAAAAAACCACTCAAACATTCTTTTGTATTTATATGCAGGTACATCAACTTTGAGTAAAATGAAGGTTTTTCACCTTTATTCCATTCACTACCTGCCGTATGAACAATTGCATTTTACTTTCACACATACACCTTACTTAAGTTCTATAGGTATCTTTATAACGTTATGTAGTTGTTATGTAGAGCTTTCTAATGAATAAATAATTGAACGCGTCCGATATTCTTCCTTCATACTGATGCTAGTAATCAACCTTATTTCGAAATAAGCAACAGATTGGTATTTTCACTCGAAAATAGTAGCACCTGTACTAGAAGAAGCTTCGGTAATAAAATTGATAATTAACAACAGTGGAATTATCTAATGATAAACAGGAAAATATGTAATATGCTGTAGACGGTAGATACTACTTATTAGTTCCACAAGATATCACAAAATTTTACAATTTCACAACTTTTCATCTACCTTTCCAACATTTACTCGCCCTTTGTCACTTGAAGAACAACTGAACTAATTTTTAGTCACTACTGAACGTTGGAAACAAATCAGTAATCAGATAAAAAATAAACGTAAAATCGTTCTTCCTATTTTCTCAGATAGAATGTTCCAAAGTGAATTGGTCCGGAAGAATCGAGAACATTCTGGAATATTCGAAGATCATTATGTACGAATGATGGTAATGGTGTCAGAGACTACATTGCTCAATTTTAAATATATTTCGACCAAAATGTTCAAGATTTATCATGTTTGATGGGTGTGTAGGTTTACGAGTCGACGATCGGCCACCAAACAAAGCTTTAGATAAAGTGAAAATGTACTAGAATATTTCTAGGGTTGTCTTCTGATAGAATGTTCTCAAATGGCTGAGATTCCTCTCAAATATTTCAATCGGTATCATAAAAATTTTTGGAATCTCCTAAATATTCGAGATTTCTCCAGTCTAGTATGACCCACGACTCCTGAGATGCTAGAGCATCATAGACGCCTTCGATATCGATCTCCTGCGGCATTCGTTCATTTGACTGATGTTGATCATATTTTGAGAATAAAAAAAACGGTTTGACAACTATTATTCAAAAATGTCTTCTGAGGTATCATCATCATCATAAGGTCATCAATCCTAAGACTGGTTGGACACGTACCTCCACTCTTTCCTATCCTCAGCTAAACTTCGCATTTCCCTAAAACAGCCCACATCCTTAACCATTTGCGAACAGCAATCTAATCTAGGTCTACCTCTACCCCACCTAACTCCTGTTTCTGCCTCTAATATGTCTCTGACTAGACCTTCATGCCTGAGAAGGTGTCCTACCAACCTATCTCGCCTATTTTTTATTGACTTCCATAGAGTCCTCTGTTCTCCTATTCATTCCAATACCTCTTCATTTCTAACCATTTCTACCTACGATATCCTCATCATCCGCCTATAATACATTTCGAACGCTTCTAACCTTTTCTCTTCTGCCGCGCTCACTGTCCATGTTTCGCACCCGTACAACGCCGTGCTCCAAACATACACCTGTAACAACCTTTTTCGAATTTCTAAATTAACCGTTCGCGAGCATAGAAGTGACTTCTTTTTATTAAAGTTGACACGACCCTGCGCTATCCTCTGCTTTATATCCCTACTCCTCCTTCCATCCTGACTTATTATCTGAGATATAATATAAAAATAAGCATTTGCCTTTTGTATTTATATTTTTGATAGAATTGCTTCAAGGGCATATAATGTATTAGATTTGTATGTCTTAATGAAAGCAAACAGAAGTCGTTTTGCTGAAAAAATACAGAAATAGAAGCTCTATGCTCTATTGCATTATGAAATTTGCAAAAACGTTCTTAACAGAAATTTTATTTAAAATGGAATTAAAATTTAGAGATCATCAGTTTTTGAGGATAATAAAATTCCAAGTCGTCCAGTTAAGAACTATTAATTATATCATAATTAGGTAATTACAATGATATTTCCGTTATATATAACATGCTTTATTCAAAAGTGATAAAATTCATATCCAGGGTGTCTCGTCTAGTTAATCCATTAGTAAATTATTATTTACATCCTTTAGGTATAGGAAAAGTAGCACTAGACGTTCGATTAGGTTGTTTAGATCCAAATCTACCGCCGGATTCCGAACCCCAAAAAATTATCGATGCTGCAAAGTATGCCTTAAGAAATGTAGCAATTCTGGAATTAAAATTTCCATTCTGGAGATTCTTCCCAACGCCTCTTTGGACCAGATATGTAAATAACATGAACTTCTTTGTAGAGTAAGTAAATTTTCATTTTATTGTTAGTTTTAATTATTAACAAACAAATGAAATTTAAATACCTAGTCTCCGGTTCATCCAGTATCTTAAACGAGAATCAAGTAACCTTTTAAATAATTCCTGATTACATTATAACAAATAAATATTATTTAATGTCTGTTCAACATTCACCGTTATTTTTATTGTTTTTTAATTAATTTAAATTCTGAGTAGCACACGTGTACTATTTTTAGAATTTGTTCGAAATATATTAACGCAGCGCTAGAGAGATTAAAAATGAAAACGGTAAAAAATGAAAAGGATTTGTCACTGGTTGAAAGGATCCTTGCAAAAGAACCTGACACTAAAACAGCAACCATTTTAGCTTTGGATTTAATTTTAGTAGGAATTGATACCGTAAGTATTTTAATGTTTTGACTTTAAGAGATAAACTAACTTATTAAACCCTAACACATTTTTGAACGTTTAAAAAAGAAGAATCACTCTAACGCAAAAATTATTAGAGGGTGGTTCCGTGAATAGTTCCCTGAATTCTAGTTTCCATATCCTCCCCCTAATAACTAAGTAATCGACATAAATTAATAAGGGTTGTAAGATTTATTGATTTTTATGAAACCACACCGTTTCGCGTCAACATACGGGGCTTCTTCAAGGTAGATTTCTTATATGGACAATTTTTAATTAACTAAGAAATCTACACTCGTATGTTGGGGCAAAACGTCACTGTGGTTTTATAAAAACAATGAACCTTACAACCCCTATTGGCTTAATTACTCGATTGCTTAATACCATCCCCCAATTACATTTTTAATTTTTTATAAACAGTTTGATATCTCAATAAAGCGAAACACAGAATTTTGTTAAGAAATATTTTTAGCTGAACAGTTTTGAATAGATTACTATAAAAAAAATACTTGTATACGTATTAATGTATAGTTTTGTAACAGTTTAAACACCAAGCGCGTTAAAAACAAAAATGAAAATTTATGTACATATCACACAGTTACCAGTTGCAAAAGGATGGAGTAAATGAGAACAAGCAAGAATTGTTTGCTTATTATCACATTTCACAATAAAATACTCATCTGGTCTAGATTTCAATGGCTGTATGTTCAATTCTATACCAACTGGCTACAAGACCGGATCAGCAAGAAAAAATATATCAAGAACTGAAAAATGTACTGTCTGACCCCAATACACCGCTTACAGTGAAACTGTTGGATCGGATGGTTTTTCTCAGAGCATTCGTGAAAGAAGTCTTCAGGTAGGTTAATAACACACACTGAGCAATTAAATTATTATAATAGTCACTCGTAATAAATTGATAAATGAACAACAGTTTAACAAATTATTAATAGGTTAACAACAGTTAATAAGCCCATAAATAAAATAACGTTAAATGAGAACAGTAATTATTGATTTTTAAAATTTTCGACTCTTGCTCAAGAAATAGAAAAGAACAGACTCCAATACACTTCAACATAATATCGACAATAGTATGCCATTTTCTAAAAGACTAAAACTGTTAATACAAATAAGAACATAGAAAAAAGAATTATAAGCAACATGTGGGGAGTTAGAAGTTCAGGGACGTAGTTAACTTTTTTGCATATGCCAAGAATGAGCCCCATTGTTCTAGTTCCTCATACAACCTAATAAGATACCTTAAGTTCCATGATAATAACTAAATAAACAACTCATTATAATTGGTCACGAAAATTCGCAGAAGCTGATAATTCTGCATAGTTGTTGACTAAATAATGTTCAAATAGTTTCAATGAACAAATGTAACCTTAAATCGCATTTAAACAAAAGCTCGACTTGCTAAGTAGTCACAGCATTTATCAGAAATCAATGCAGTAACTTTAAGACAATCTACATAGGTCAAAGTAAAAGGTCTATGTGAACTAGGCTTAAACAACATCTATAGGCACTATAGTATATTGCGTTGTATTTAGATAAATTATAGAATTTGGTAAAAATTGTATGACACGTTTGCAATTTTGATTTTTCGGCTTAACATGTAATAAGTAGTAGCCAACAGCTTAAAATTTTGATAGCTTAGGAACATCCAGAAAGTTAGTACAAATTCAAAAGTTTTTTCTGATACTACACATAAATAAGATTAAAGGTTTTTTTATGGTTTCAAAATTCGTATGTTTAGGTAATAGGTACCAATCGTATTTTGATGAAGGACGAAAATCCTAAAAATTAATGAAGAAAATGCAGTAGCCCAGTTTTGAATTTCAAATACTTAATACGTAATAATAAGAATTGTAAATACTGAAAGGTAAAGTGTTTTAAATTTCTCCAATTTTTTATTTTTTTAAGAATGTATTCTACAGTAATTGGTAATGGAAGGACATTACAAAAGGATACTGTTATTTTAGGCTACAAAATTCCCAAAGGGGTAAGTTTTGTTTTGAAATTAAAATATTAATTAAACTTCGATATTTAAATTAATTCTCCTAGTGTAAAACGTCAAACTATAAAATTTTAAGCTTTTTCAAGTGTTTTGTTAACTTATTTACACAATAACATTAAAAGATTCGGAATTCTAAAAGTTTATAAATAATAAAGAATGGTCTTTAACTATTATTAATATTCTACTGTTTATACAATACGTATTATAAAAAAATAGGTATTTGTTATGCATAATTGAATAAATATGAAAATCAAAAGAAAATATGTTTATTTATACATTATTAAAGTAATAATTACTAACAATATGTGTGACATTATTAGAACAATTAAAGAATCTTAGTTAAAAGTTGTTTATTTTTTTTTTACTTTCGTAATATAGGTTCAAGTGGTTTTTCCCACTCTGATAACCGGAAGCATGGAGGAATACGTAAGTGATCCTGAAACATTTAAACCGGAAAGGTGGATGAAAACGCATAGTCACAGTAATAAATTACATCCATTTGCCTCGTTGCCGTACGGTCATGGAGCAAGGATGTGTTTGGGGAGAAGATTTGCAGATTTAGAAATTCAAATACTATTAGCCAAGGTAACAAGCATCGAAAGTTTCTTCTAAACGTGTTAATGCAGTAAAATGATAAATCACCTTCGAAATCGTAATATCGGGGCAAACTTTATTTATTCTCTTCGAAATTATTAACAATACATTTATAATAAAAAGTCTGATTCCTTCAAGTTTCCATAAATCATAACCCACCCTGTATATATATTTCATCTGCAAATATATTTTTTGTTGTTTTAGTTAATTAGATCATACAAACTAGAATATCATCATCCCCCACTGGATTACAAAGTGACATTTATGTACGCTCCCGATGGTGAACTCAAGTTAAAAGTTACCAAAAGAAATGAATCATAATTATCTACAATACACAGTTTAACTAATTGTAATGTAAAGAAAGACTTATTCTAACTGTATATTATTATGTACATACTACTACGTTAATAAATACATTTTTATTTATGTAAATGACTACCTAATTTCTTAAAAACCTGTCTCATAAACAACAATATTAAGTGCAAATTATTAATTAAACATAATTGTTAGAATCTGTTAGTGTCCGACCGAAAGTTCGGTTTCGGTTTCGGTCGAGTTTCGGCAAAAATACGAGTTTCGGTTTCGGCGGCAAACCTGCCGAAACTACGACCGAAACCGAAACTGCGTTTATTACTTAAATATTAAGTTACTATACCTATTGTGATATTAGGTAACAATAACAAAAGTAATTTTATGTTTAATATTATATAAAAAAAAGCATGAATAGTCTTCAAAAGAAAAATGAGTCTAGTCTACTGTACTTACTCAAATAAACATCTCACCTATTTTAAGTATTTTTAAGGCGCAATTAAAGTATTTCCTTAAATGAGGGGTTGTTATGTTGATTTTGATTTGATTATTTATTAATAAGTGAAAATGTCAAAGACTGCAGAGCTATGTGATTTAAAGATAAAAAAGTAAAACTGACTGATTATAATAACGTTTTCTTTATTTTTCTCTCAAAACATGATCCTTATAAGAAAGTTTCGGTTTCGGTTTCGGTTTCGGCTGAAATTGAGACCGTTGCCGAAATTCGGTTTCGGTCGTAAAAACCAGTTTCGGTCGGACACTAGAATCTATACTAGTTGCAAATTGAGAATGGAACAAACGGATATAGGTACTATTACGTGCTATTATTAAATGATGACATCATCCTTTATATAAGACATGGACAGACAGACACACGAGTGATCCCATAAGGGTTCCGTTTTTTATTCGAACGTACGGAACCCGAACCCGAGAACTAACTTAACATTGTAGTTGAAAAAAACTCAAGTCCTCCTATACTTTAAAACTGCAAATGTAAATCTGTACGCACAATATTGTTTTATTGAAAGATTTACCACATTATGTTCGGACCATAAACTTTTATTAATTTTTTTGTAATCTATAAGTAAACTATTTTCTGTATTTTTTCTAAAAAAAAATTAGATTCAGTAGTTTCGAAGATAACTGGGTGCGGAATGTTCAATTTTCATCTATTTTCTTAAATAACTTTTTATTTTAAAATTATAAAAAAATATATTTAAGACCCTTATACAACAACCCTTTCGTTTGATATGTTACACGGTACAGTTTGAAAAACTTTTTTTTTAATTTCCTATTGATCCCCGTTCCGAAAATTGACCCCCATGTTCAAAATTTATTTATTTACTTTTGTGCGTTAGTGTTTGGGTCAAAGAAATTCATATACATGTATATGTGTATTAAGTTTCAACTTAATTGGTCCAATAGATTCGGAGCAAATTGACTGTGACAGACAGATAGACAGTCACACAAATGATCCTACAAGGATTCCGTTTTTCGTTCGGACGTACAGATCCCTAACAATAGACGTGATGTAGGTAAATTTGTACAAATACCTTCAATTGTCTTTTCATATAACTAAATAAGCAATCCAAACGTTTGAAAAGTTCAGAGATACACTTTGTTCAAAGTATTTTTGAAATTCCGGTAGTAAAGGGTACTCAAAGAAGCAAGTAGTATCTTCAGATGTATGTGGTTGAAAAAACAGATTCCACACGTTAACCACAAAAGGAACAAATGCCGATAAAGAAATGTGTATTTTCTATGTTCCGTTAACATTTTGCCTTACCTGTATAGAAAGCACTGAAAACATATCTTCATCTAGACCCGTCTTGTCCAAAAACTCAGTTGTTGTGTTAGTCTACCTAAAAGTTCTTTCACTTTAACGTAATCTTCATAAGATTAAAACTGATTTCCAATTTGTTGCTAATAATAAATTTACTAATAATTATTCAAAGTTGCTACTGTAGAAAACATGTACAAATATTACAACAACGCTAAAGGCAGATCTCCGAGCGCACGAAATTGGATTACCTGATTAAAAAATTAGTAGAAAGGGATATTGATACCATTCCTTATGAACTAAGTTTATTTATTTTCAGATTACATAACACGCGTAGACTCGAAATGGTTATAATTAATGGAAACTCAATCATGGTAGAGGTTTCATTGCATAAGTAATTAAAGAAAACTCATTCAATAAAGTCCTTTATAAAAAAAAAGTTACACAATGTGAAAATAAAATCTCTGTGATTTTATTAAAATTAACATAATGAATATGTTACCACAACATATTGAATAAATACCATTTGTAATTTTTGTTGAAAGCCGCTGTTTTTGAACAATAGTATATAAATAAATCTTTACAAAATTTAATACTGTATTTTATATTTCTCTATCGATCCACAAATTTAAGTTTAAGGGGACCATTTGGCGTATACATGGGATGGATATGGTAATCTAGTTTCTCGTAATTGTATTCGATGTGGAAAGCCTGTATTATCTGAAAATTACCAATTAAAAACATGGTAATTCAAAAATATTTGCCTTTAAAAATGAATAATTTATTTAAATAAAGCAATCAGCATCATCATCATTCGCTCAATTAAAAATTTATATTTTTTATTTGTTTGTTACCTTTGCAACTGCTACTTGCAGTTCTAGCTCAGCAAATCTTCTGCCAAGACACATCCTTCTCCCATAACCAAAGGGTAATGAAGCAAAAGGATGATGATTTTCACTAGCTGATTTATCCTTGTTGGATTTTAGCCACCTTTCTGGAAGAAATTCGCTGCTTTTTGGAAAATAATCATCTAAATTACTAACAACGTAGTGCTGAAAAACTACTTGAACCTAAACAAAAAATCACATGATGTATTGTAGACAAATAAATCAATTTCTTTTACTTATTACGTACTTCAAGGTTTAAACAAAAGAAAATTATTTCCCTTGAAAGTTAACTCACCCCTTTTGGTATTTGATATCCCCCTATTACGCAATCTTTACTTGTACATCTTCCATTACCAATTACGACGGGGTACATCCTTAAATATAATTTTAATCGTTTGAGTATTATTATATTACCTTCCTTTTCAATTTCGAATGTATAGAACCAGAGATTAATAAGGGTGCGGTTTTTTTTATTATTGCATTACAAAACCAACACTAAGGTTTCGTCTCTAATCGTGAAGTATTTTCAAGGTATACATGTATACAATTAAAAGCGAAACGTTGGTGTCGGATTCGTAATGCAATAATAACAAATCTTACAAGTTACAACCCTCATTAGATTCCGATTCAAAAACAACAATTTCATGAAAATTGCTTTTGTTTTATGCCCCTTTAATTTCACTGACCAAAAGGTCAAACCTTTAAAACGAAAAAATAATGATTTATGATTAAATTTGAAAATATATTTTGGTAATTTTGTTGGGCAATATTTTGAAAGGCCGAATAGTCACAAATGAAATCCTCCAGGATGTCAACCAGCACTGAAGATGGAGGGACCTCTAAAGAGGTTCGCCACTAGTGCTAGCAAAACGTTAAGAGACAACTCCAACTGACTACGACCTTTAGACAACATCAGTTCACTGGTCGCAAAAGCCTTTACCAGTTTGTTGTTTTCTTAATTCTCGTTTTTTTTACTCTTGACTATAGTTTTTTAAATTAATATTCTTATCACCTAACATTTTTGAAATGAATCTTCGTTATCGACAGTAGAAAGAAAGTTTATTAGGGTATAAAACCGAAAACTGTAACGTCACGCGTCACGTCACACGCCGCATGTGACCCCTAGTGGATATATCCAAAAAGAGTCACTTTAACAGAAACTCATTAAATCTTTTTTAACAGAGTTCTGATTTTATTCTATTGAAGGGTTTTTTAGATACTTCGTATATCACTTTAATCGTATTATTTCAGAAAGTTTACACATTCACTATCAGTATACGAATTATAGCATCCGCTGTCCACGTGTTCCTTTTTTTTGCATGAGAAATTCTCATTTACAACCGCAACTGCCGGTGCAATTAAGGATAATGATTGCTATTATTTCACGTCGTCAAGGATAACATTATTGCAACGTACGTATGTGCACTGTACATACGATAGTAACAACAATGTAATAAGTGCATTTACCTCATAGTTTCCTTAATGCACGCTTTCAAGTAGGTCATCTGTTCTAGCTTCGCATTTGTGAACGTTGTGGTATTTCCACTGGGCAGTAAACGTAATATTTCCTCGTGTAGGATTTCTTGCTTATCTGGATGGATAGCAAGTTGGTAAAGAATCGAAGCTAAGGCATTCGAAGTCTGAAAAAGACACGGTAATTAATACAATGCGCTTTCTGCTTTTTTAAAATTTGAAAATCGATATGGTACCTCTACAGGATATCTCAAAAATTAAAGTAAACCTAACTCGTCATCAGTAAGAAGATCTAAATTTAACTTTAATAAAAATTATTTATAATGTAATTATCAGTAGATTGTGAGATATTGTGATAACTAGATATTTTATCAACCTGGAGCTTTTTTGATTTACCTTTAACGTGCTGATGAGACCTAATAAGATCGAAACCGACATCCACGCCTGATAGTTTCCATTAGATAACTGACCGGCAACTCATATTATTCTTATCAAAAATGCTTTGTTTTTCAGTTAAATTGAAATTTTATTTCATTCGTAAAAATCATTACCTATTCGAATCAGTAACAGTATTACTAATGTGACTTACGGTATCAATGCCGACTAAAAACATGTCTAAAGCCAAAACAGTAGCAGTTTTGGGGTCATTTTCCAAAAGAACCTTTTGTAACACTGAAGGGTGGCTATGGTCTTTTCCCTTGTCTAAATTTTCTATTGCCCTTGAAATGTGATGCATTGTGGTTCTGAAATTATAATTGAAATATTTCCGTAATGTTGAAGAATTTTGATTAAACTAACATTAATGTTACCTTGCAATATTAATTTGAAATCATTTTTTCGATTTTTAATTTACCCACTACAAACTGCCTCAAATTAATGAGGGAAAAATTGTTGCTGTTGTCACACCCCCGCCGGGAATCGAACCCGGGACCTTTGGCTTTACACACCAATGCTCTACATGTATATTATTTGGTTTGTTTTTGAATGTATTTTCTACTTCGACTTCATCAAATTAAAAATAACTGAGG